GGCGAAAAACTGCGTCGCGTAGCTGCGAGCGGCGGTGTACAGCGGCCGCGGCGTGGAGAGGAGCGGTGTACGTGGAAAAATCAAGTGGCGGAATAATGGATTTCGAGCGGCGGCGGATGAAAAACGACGGTAATTTTTCTGGACACCGTTCGGTTTTTCAGTGCGGCTTACGCGCAACTAATTACCCATATGCCACGTGTTATTATAAATAGCCAATCGTTACCGACACAGCCGCGTCCGCGATTCGCCCATAATGGCGTGTTATCGGATAAATAAAACGGATAGCCACGGGAGGGTGCGCTCCGATTATGCATCGACGCCTCCCGGTGAGCTGTGTGGTACCTACTCTCGCTCTCTCTGGCCGACCGTACTGTTTTCCCAACGAGCGGCCGGCTTTTATTTCTCGTCGACTTTAATCCACGCGCGCCGCTGACGACAACGCCGGGGCATTTTTACCCGTTCCGCTCGCTTCCCTTCAACGGCGGTGCGCGGCTCCTCGCCGGAGCATCGATTCCCGTGGTAACAAAGCTGTTGCGGAGGATCCGTCTCTTTTCCTCGAGCCACGCGTTCCGTCCAATCTTCGAGCTTCCAAATTGATAACCGTGGGGAGCGGCCGGCGGATATCCAACGCAGGACGCGGCCCTTTCGGCGACGCGAGTGTCGACTGCCGCGAATATTCCGCCTAAACGCATTAGAAAGCTCATTTAAATACGATACAATGGCGTGGCCGTGCGCCCCTGGTCGAAATAGTGATGTCCGAAAACGGCGTACCGCCGACTAAGATGTCCTCCAACTTGTTCGGTCCACCGATAGATGAATATCATTGGACGATCGTTGAAGGATTGGAGATATTAAAACGCTTTGTCTCACGGTGAACGCAAACGTCGGTTTATCCCGGCGAGCGGCGCGACGCTCGTCACGGCTACGCTCCTCTCGCCGCGTCAATACTTTTCCACGGTGAACGCGACGCAAGACAATCACGTTGACACCCGGTGATGGATGTCCTGCCTGCTCAAAATACCCCCCTCAGTTTTCCCGCCAATAAAGCCCATTGTAAATGCGAACTATTCGAAATATTAGAGCGGCTCGGCGATTACCGGCCGTTCAGTCATCGCTCCTGACGCGTCCGTAATCCTTTCCATCTTCCTCCGCGTCCTTTTTTATTTTCCTTTCCTCCGCCTTTTTGTTCCCGGTAGCTTCGCACATCGCCGCGAGGCCGAGACTTCGCTTCGCCCGAAAATCTGCCTCCGGATCCCCGATCCGGCCCCGGTGTAATCGTCGATCGCTCGCGACGCGCTCTCGTCGCCCTCCCGTTGGCCAGGTAAGAAAAGTTCCACGATCGAATGTCGAAACATCCTGCCGTGACACCATATCTATTATTACCCGGCGAAGGTTGTTCCTCTATCCGCCGCTGACAATCTGACAACGTGCCTCGTGCTCAATGAGCAGCGTAACAATACTATTTCAGCAACCGCGCGCAAGGAAGACAGCGGAGAGTCGGGGCCCGGCTCCGTTACTGGGCCGCAAGGGAACGAACTCCACCACCGGCTGTCACTTCTCGTTGCTCGTTATCAGCGTTGTCCCTCGAAGAGAACAGAAAAAAGAAACGAACGGGCTGCCCGGCCGTTGTAGGCGGTAGCCGCCTTTCGAATAATAACCCTGGAATAAAGGAAAACGGGTGTCAAACACCGTGCGCCTCTCGGCCGATTTATCGACGAGGAGAAGGGAAAGAGAGAGACGGAGAGAGAGAGAAAGAGAGAGAGAGAGAGAGAGAGAGAGCGAAGAGCAAGGAAAAAGAAAGCGTCAGCGCGGATAAAAGGTTCGAGTCGGGTGTTGTTGAATTTTTCACCGCGTCGACCGAGGCTCCATCGAACGTTTCAGGCTCCCGATTCATCGTGTATGCTGGTCCGCCAACACGATCCGCCTTCCAACGGGGCCGTCGACTTCCCGCGCGCCGCTGTAAAGCTTAAAGAGACAGGCTTACTCGCGATTCGAAATTTATTTACACCGGCCGTAATCCCTATTATGGCCGCACGCGTAGCCCGAGGAAAAGGCCGAGCAATTTCGGATTTGGACTGCCGGGAGATGATGGATCGCCGTTTCGTAGCCGGCCGTTGATGATACCTCGCAGATGTAACCTCCGCACCCTTTTTCGGACGAAACCACTTGCCGGTGATTATCGATTAAACGCATGCATGCCGGCTTCTCTCTCGCATACGCTCCTCTTTCTCTCTTTCTCTCGCCCTCTCTCCCTCTCTCTTTGTGCTTTTCCTCTGACTTTACCCCTCTTTCCCGGGTAGCTCGGTTTCGTTCCGGAACGCTCGACATCTGGTCCCACCGCGGCACGGCTAAACGCCGAAAGTTTCTCTTACACGGATACTTGGCTGAGGATAAAAGGCTTCGATTGTCGGGCGAGGTCGAGTGGCAAGTTCGCGGTAATACGAAGGCGAGGCGGACGCCGAAAGTAGACGACGCCACGGCTGGTCGGGAAGTTGGCTACCATCTCGCGTCTTGTAACGAGCAATCTCGATAGGATTAAGACGCTGTTTACCCGTGAACAGAAAGCCGAGAGTTCGAGTTTACTTCCTCCGCAGCCGACAGGGGCTTGCGCATCCCGCCGCCGCGGACGCCAGGACGCGTTTCCACGCCGGGAACGCATACATATACATACGTTTACAACCGAGCGCCGGTTGTACTCTGTAACTTCCGTCGTCCGCGCGAGTTAGCCGGTCGCGAAGTAACAGTTCGGCAGTTCCATCGTCGCTCCTCGATAAAAATTAACATCCCCGGTGCAACTGGCGCGCGCGCGCGAGTGCCACTCGAGGCGGCGCCGACTTCCGGATATGTCGAACATATGTCGCCACTTCAGATAATCCGATGCTTTTACCGACAATCTAATCAACATCGCGGAACGAGAAATACATTTAGCACGGGTCAATAAATCCTTAAATGCATTTCAATCCGGCTGGCAATGATAAGAACTTGATCCAGGACACGCAGGCTTTTCACGCGGCTCGTGGTCTCCCTGTAACATAAATCCGTGTCGGTTGGAATTCATTCTACATGGATTCGACGGTTTCTTGAATAATTACCAAAACCCACCAGCAAATATGATTAATCGAGCAAAACAGGTTCATCCACTTCTTGCTTGTATCTACTACGGAACACGAGTGCAGAGTATGTCCGTTCTCCTGGTACAGTTTTTATGTCTCTGCAGAGAATTCCTCTAAAATCGTTGATGGCTCGCATCTGGAAGGAACAATGCAGCGTTAGTACTCGTATTTTCGGCTTCGAAACGAGAATTTCCGTCGCGCCGCGAGGAGAGAGAGAGGACTTTGCGAAACGAGTCGGCCATGGAAGTTTTCACGGGAGTTCTGTCGCGAGGCTGAAAGTCAGATGGGCAAGTTAGAACACGCCCGAGAAGACGCAAGCTCCTTTGACTTTATAAATAATAAATTCGCGTAAAAACAGCCGGAGGGACATAGGAGACGGAGAGGGAGAAAGCGAGATTGTGGCAGGAACGTGGGAAGCACGGGGATGAAGGAAGAAACGGGCGCGAACGGTAGGACGACGAGCGACGGGGAGGGGCGGGATGAAAGAGGCGAGAGGATCGCGGCGGCGAAAGAGAGACGGAAGGACAAAGACGACTGGTAATAAAGAGCAGGCAGTAAGAGCGGCGAAGTGACGTCCTGTGTCGCGAAGTCATAAACTGGGCCCCAGGATCTCGGGCTTACACTCTTATTAAAACGTCGTCCTGCATATTGACGGTTATTGATCACCTTTCGCGCACCTCGCCGCTTTTACGATACAAGGTCCGTGTCACCTTGAAAACCACGGATACCGTACCCGTTCCAAAAGAGACGGACGATATCCGCGACGAAAATGCATATCGGTTCACGCTCGCCTTGCCTGCTATCCGTGAACAACGGCAAAATGACCAGCACGCGTCCAATAATTATAATACCGCCATTTTGTCGTTAGGCGAATGCCCACTTGATCATGAACGGGCATCCCGGTGCCCACAAAATTTTGCGGCGTCTTTTTCTTTTAAATGAAATAATGATCAGTTGCGATTTCTTTATGGCGCCGGGACGCCGATTAAGCTTGTAGTACACGCATTAAATGTTTTTAGAAATAAAATGACTTTCTCATATTAACTGGAAGTTGCTCGATCGCGTGGTAAATCTGAGATACTCGTTTGTTAAGTACATTCTTGTATATCGACGAGTTGATTTTCTTTGATAAAGAGATTAAGGTTAAGTCGGTCCATCGGGAGAAATACACGCTGTATCTTTGATCTAGGTTTACCTTTTACGAACTTGAATACTTCCGACGACGAGGGTGAAGAGAATTTTGGTAAATACAGGGATCAGAGGTTGCATCGAACAGGAGAAACATTGTTCTCGAACGAACAAAAGAAAGGTACTGCATACAAACTGATCACTTATTGGCGCTCTTTTTGATTGCTACTGTGTTGGTAATATTACTTTCTACTACTGTAGTCAAATTTTTGTGATCGGTAGGTAACATACTGCAACTGTATATATAGTCGATACCGATGTTATTAGCCGACGAATCGTTGGTGGGACTGGATCAGTCGCAGAGGGCGTCGTCTGTGTATTCTGTACTCAATGATTGTCTACTTCGCGGATAAGTAGATTCTAAGCTGATCGGCCATTTTTAGTCGAATCTCTGCTAGAACCAGTGGTCTTGTCGCCTCTATTTTCCGACGTTTTAATTTTTCCACCGTGTTTGATTTGCCATTTGCGAGCGACGTACGGTGAAACCAGGAAGTACCAATGAAAACGAAGTAGCCTCCGGCGGTTTTGACTTTTAACTTGGTCATCGTTGGGACTAGGTGAGCGAAGCAATTTTTTCCCGAATCTCCTGTTCCCGTAAACAAATCTCAGTGGTGGGGATGCAGATGCACTTCGCTGTTTATCGCATCGATGATATATGCATGACACTACGCTTGTAACAGTTCATTTTTATTACATGAAGAACCACGAGCTGACAATGGGTAACGCGGGAAGCAATCACCCGGTTGGTCATCATCATAGCAGCTCTTCAGGTAGAGAGCATCGTCATACCAAAGAGCATCCTCCTCCGTCGCCAGGAAAGGAAGGCCAAGCGTTCGTTTTTGATAAAAAGCCAAGTCAGAAATTAGTTTTCCAATCGTCCCATGAGGACGAAGAACCTTATTATGCTAAAGTACGTACAGTGTGTCATTATATTAGATAAGTTGTTTGAGATGTAACATTCATATTTCGATAACTCAATATTCTTTCCGTGGATAGACCGGTGGACATCATAATGGAGATGATTACAGCCATCGTCCGCGTTCTAACACTGTATCCGAAGGAACAAAAGTTGCAGACAGCAAAGTATTGCCTACAGTCTTCAAATGGGAGGGTGGTGGTAAACAGGTTTATATTAGTGGAACTTTCACTGGATGGAAGACACTACCTATGGTGAAGAGTCATGGGGATTTTGTAACAATTATCGATTTACCAGAGGGGGAACATCAATATAAGTTCTTTGTTGACGGCGAATGGAGACACGATCCAGACATAGTAACATTCTTTTATTGTCTCTCATATTATAACTGTGTAGAATATGTTTTACAGATGTTTGTGTTTCTTATAGAAAATTGTTGATAATGGTATGGGTTCTAAGAATAATCTTGTATCTGTAAAGAAATCAGATTTTGAAGTATTCCAAGCACTTGCAAAAGATAGCGAGGGTGTTATTAGTAGTGCTCAAACAGAATACGGTCAAGAAGTTCCTCCCCATAAACCATGGGAAAAAGTGGCTGGTCCACCAATATTACCACCTCATTTACTACAAGTTATCCTGAATAAGGATACTCCGTTGTCTGTAAGTACTGAAAAGGAAAATACTGTACAAAAGGTTCTATTATTTGAAAAATCCCATAATACGATTATTTCAGTGCGAGCCAACTCTTCTACCAGAACCAAATCATGTTATGTTAAATCATTTGTATGCCTTAAGTATCAAAGATAGCGTAATGGTACTATCCGCCACACATCGCTATCGCAAGAAATACGTTACAACTCTATTGTACAAACCAATTTAAATGTTTAAATCATTCCCAAAGCTATTGGCAAATTGTTAGTTACATCGAACCAGTACATACGTATTTTGTAGGTAAGGTAAGAATATCAACATTTTAAGAAAATGAAATATTTGGTAACTTATAGATTATGAGGAATTTTATCTGAAATGTATAATACTGTATCTATTATTTATTAAAATGAAATATTTTACATTAGACGTCTTCCAGACAATGCGAGTAATTCTTGTACATGTAAAATTCGTATAGCAATATCGACATAATATCTTCGGCACTTGATTTAAACCATATTATCAGTTATTTCTTCTTGGTAAGCATACGGCGCATCCGGTCTTGTCTTGAGAAAATATGTCCCAACGGTCTTTTTATCAACATACTCGCCCATTAACGTAGTTTCAGAACGACTGCAATTGCCACTCGTAAACTGATCCCACGTGTTACACTTTCTTGCCAAAAACGTCGATTTTGGATTAATGCTCTCCGTGAAATACATATACGATCGCCCGTGACTGCATGCCTCTGCGCAAATAATAATAACCCAGCATATATATACATTTGTGTCCTTTAAGGAGACGCATGCAACCTACCAGGATACATTACCTATAACTTCAGCGATACAACAACAGCCGGGTTGAACAGCAGTTCCACCGTTCGGGTAGAAATCGACGATGCCTATTGGTTGTAAATATCCTAACACTCCGCCGCAGGAATGAATAACATCGACAAATAACGCATCCGTAGAATCCAATCGGGTTTTGTCAGTAGTGAGCAAATGGAATCCTGGCAAAGCAGGATCCAATCCGGTTATCCTTCCCAGGCGGCCCGACTTCACTGAACTTCCGGTGTTCCCGGCAACGTGCGCTCCGAGAGAGTGTCCTTAATTTAATTATAGTCAAGTGAGAGCAAATACGAAATAATAGTACATAAAAGTGATCCCAAATAATACGTACCAAGGAAATGAATGTTTTCAGTTTTCAGACCGGTTTTCGCACCTAGGAAATCAATGAATTCCGCAGCCGCTAATCCTACCTTTTCCGTGTTCCGCATTGGCCCAAGATAAAACGTGCTCGCAGCCAGCGGTTGCCAGTCCACCATAATGACATTGTAATCGTCGTAGCTTAAATACGCTGTGGATTATAAAAATGAAAATATGGAATCAGGCTTACTGACGAGGTAGCGGTTTTGAAAGTATTAGTAAAATTAGTCTGTATACCGTCTTTCATATGGATGAGACCATCGCTCATCGAGCTCGATTTCCATCCGTGTGTTATAAATTTCGTTACTCGGGATGGATTCAAGGTGGACTTGCTAAGTCCCACGGTATCGTTCGTGTACAGCTGAGTACCATTAATCGGACCATCTCTTAAAACACACAACATTATGCTTCAATAAGAAACACCTGATACTTTTGAACGAGATACCACATAACATTACCGGGTGTAAAGAAAGTAGGAAACCTGTGACTCGTCGAAAATGCCTCGCATGTCGGTTTCCGTGTGTTTCAGTACTGCTACTTGCGGTTTCCCGTTTCCATCGGGCATGAAAATCCAGTCTTCTCCGTAGCCGTCGTACTTTTCTCGCAGACCACTGTTCCACGTTGTTTTACATATCGCGTAATCGTAAAAACTAATAAACAGGACCGTGAGCAGTGCGTATTTACTTGTTAAAATCATATTGTTACTCGTGAGAAATACGAAGCTTTGCATGGGAACCGTTACGAAGTTGAGAAATGACACTAAAGCAATTACAAGAGAATTTGAAGACTCGGTTAGGAACTCGTTACGGTAATATCCACGGGGTCCTATCGCTCGTCTTAATCGCTTAGCGAAGACTGCAGGGTGGAAGCTTCTTATAAACCCCGAGAATGTCACGATGGACGTTTGAGCGAGCCCTCTCACGGCCCAGTTTCTTTTTGTTTATCTTAAACACCGTATCGTACATGCGGAAATACTGTCAAGTGGTTGCACGACGGTGCCTTAAGCATTGTAATCGTATTCAAAGAGGTGCAGGTTTTTGCCCAATTAACTGACCAGGTACACCGGATATCTTCCTATCGCGCGAAACTAAATAGTAACGTGTACACTTTATTAAAGGGGACTGTCGCCACGCTGATAACTTTCTTTTCCCTTTTTAACGAAATTGTCGAGGTAATCACGGGTTGGCATAAAGAAGCAATTTTATATGAACATAGAATATATTATCACACATTGTCATACAACACACGTTTTACCGATACACGTCGAGATTGCTGACTTATTCCGTCTAGCGATGTAACGTACCCTATATACGTTTCGAGCTTAATGACTTTATTCTAATGTCCCCTGTACAAACGTGTTAGTAGAGAGTAATTCACATCGATATGCGAAGCTCATCCATACGTGATTATTAAAAAGATAGTGGATGTCACGTTATACCATTTGGCCTTTTTGTTGGATGATTCTGCAAAAGTGTACGATATGCGTGAAATTAGTTTGTTTTACAATCTATACAGATATGGAAATCAAGAATAATTACCGACCATTCGGTAATGAGTTTCTTCCAAATTCACCATCGCCAAAACATCCAACTAACGGAACTTCTGGAAAATATTTTTTGAATATAGTCGATTCCACATTGCACTCGTCGAACATATATTCCCCGCGTGCACAGCATGCGAACATAAATCCCATGGAATGCTTTTTTAAACGGACACGGCTCCTAAATGATTTTATCCGTTGCTCCACGCATTCTTTAGTTTTATAATTTTTCCCGACGATCATTGACCAAGAATCGATTGCTCCAGTCAGAGTAATTCCAACGCAAAATGCAAATTCTCCGCATCTGTCGTTCTTGCTGTCCTTTGCATTGCAAACTAAGACATCTTTAGCTATTCCACCCCATACGGAAAGTTCATCCATTGGATAACTGTATTTAAAAAATATTACATACGTTTTACTGTGTCTAAGTATTAATTATATGATATTAATATTAAAATCCTTAGGACTATTACCATTTCTTCAAAGAATTTGCTAGTTTTATTGCCAAATTACGACCTCTCAAGTCACAGAACAGTAACAAACATTTAGATCTACTAGAATCCTTTTCCGACGTGGTTAAAACCTTTTTAATCTCTTCACTGTAGTTCTCAACAGACACCGACAAATCATTCTTCGTTGTAGAATTATCCCCAATTACAAATGTTTTAATCGTCACATCCGGTATCTTTGGTAAAAATGCGCATACAATATTTTCTAGGTTTCCCTCGATTTCTTTATTATTAAAGACAACTCCATGGGTGCCCAATGTCACAGTATCACAATTCGGGGGAAGTACCTTACAATGGCAGTCTAAAGGACACAGTCGTTAATAGTAAAACGCTAAATACATGTAAAAAGTCGATACTAATCATAGTAAATATTAAATGTAGTATACCTGATTGGCTAAATGGTACAGAAGGTGCTGTAAAAAATAATCCTAGAGCAGGCTTTATTTGTAATTTTTTAACGCTTTGCGCTTTAAAACGTTCCATGCTCCATTTCTGATTGGGTAAAAGTTTACAATCCTGTATGAAATAGGTAGGGCCTCTAGTTCGTATTTCGTCATTTGCCGCCTCTAACCAGGATCTGCAATATAAAGCGCTACGTGCTAGCGCAACTTTACGAAGCCTCTAGGAAAACGAGCCGTGAAATTTCATAATATGTGCAGAAGGCACACGATTAGAGCAGCTCGGGGCTTCTTCATTTCTTAGGAGCCGACCTTTCCCAGGGGGAATCATGAAAAATGAGCTTTTTCCTTCGCTTTAACATAGAACAAAACACAATGCATAAATGGGGTAATCGAGCTCGCACCTGCAAACCATTGAGGCCCTTGACAATTCCACTCCATTCAATTCTTTAAATACAATTCTTAAAATGTCGTAGGTTAAGGGTCCGTTCGTCTGTTTCTCGTCAACTTTGCCGCTGCCCGCGGTGTCCGATTTGCCAGTGCCATTCCCTCGAATCTTCTTTCGCGGTAAATCCTCCATTTATGCGACCGTTTAAATTTGACAATGTCCACTACGGTTTTCAAACGATATATTTATCACATGAGCCAGCTCAAAAAGTTGCCACAGTGATTGCTGTCGCACGGTGTCTGCTTGTGTCACGGATAACCATCGTAAACAGATCACCGCTGTCTCTACTCGTTTTCTCCTCTCCTCGATTTCGATTTCTCATTAAAATTATTACTCTTTCGTCCTACAACTGTTGGCAACGATAACAACAATGAAAGATCACGGTCATTGGAAGCTTACACGCCTCTGGAAATCATTGAATTTTAACGATGAATCATTAAGTTTTCATAGAAACTCTACCAGAGATGCTAATGGCCTTCTGCGAACGAAAGAAATAAGGTTCGTGTGATGGTGAACGCCGCTGCGTATCCGAATGATGACATCACGTTAACAGTCGTGGAAAGTTCGAATGTAAATGTGTTTCTGATCGAACAATTATTTTTACTGAGATCTAATGGAGATTGAAACTAAAGAGAGCGTTTTACCTGATGATACTCACGGTCTTTGCCGTATTTGTCTTACAGCGAATCACAATAACCAATATATTTTCGGAGCTGCTAGAAATGATTCAGATGGTACGGACACGTACGACTTGTCTGATAAATTTCGTTTATGTAGTGGTGTGGAGGTCAGTTTAATATTCAACCTTTTCTCTTCTTCTTTTGACCTCCCCTTATCACTTTATTGATAAAGGTTTGTCTTGAATAGATGATGGAGAATGATGGTTTACCTGCCACTATCTGTATAGAATGTGTGGTTAAAGTGAATGAAGCATACAAATTAAGAAAACAATGTCAGCGATCAGATGCACAGTTAAGGGAGCTATATGGAAAGTTGAAAACATTTTATAATAACACTAGATTGAAGGTGACCAAGGTAAGTATTTAAATATGAATATATAGAAATTGATATTATACAGTTGTAAAACCTCTCTCTTTTTATTAGGATCAGTACTGTCAAACGGACTATACTTTTAATTCTGGTTTTGTTAAAATAGAGGCAAATATACTTTCTGTAATTGATCAGAATGCACCTTCAATCGGGGATTGTGAGAAAGATCATAAAACAATTAATGAATCTAATTGTATAGAATACGATGATATCAATAGCCACCTAAATAATAGTTGTATTAAACGGATTGCAGCTGTATGTGAGAAGAACACTACTGGAAGGGAAGCTTATAGAACGAGAAGGACAACTATGTTCAAAAGAGTAACTTCTATGGAGAACTTAAGAAACCATAAAGAGAGACAAAGACAGTACATAAAAAAGAATGCAAAGCGAGATATCATAGAAAATGATCATACAGAAAATATTAGGGACACAGTCTCTAAAAATTCTTATGCTTGCCTGAAATGTTCTAGGTGTTACTCCAGTAAGAAATCCCTAGATAGACATATAGCAACTCACGATGAAAAGAAATTTACATGTGATAAATGTAATAAACAATTTTTGCAACTTAATGATTTGATGAAGCATAATAAATTGCACAAAGCTAAGGAAAAAGTTAAACCAGTATTATGTAGCATATGTAATAAGAGTTTTAAGAAAACTGATACTATGGTCAGACATTTAAATGTCCACAAAAGGGCCAATCCAAAAGAAGTTCTTTCTATCTTGAAAGAAATTAGGGACAAAAGAAAATTAGAAAATATTAGTGAAGAAACAATTACTGAAATTAATGATAGTAGAAAAGAGCAAAAGGATGGTTATGTAAATAGTGAAAGTAGAGCATCGGACGTGATTAAGAAATATACATTAAGCTCTGAATACAGAGATCCTAATTGTCATATGTTAAATGCCAATATCGACGCAAAAATTGACACTTTCGATAATGCGGCGCTTCATCGTTGTAAATACTGCAATAAATGTTATCCTACGGATAAATTACTTCAGAACCATTTACTGAGTCACAGTGGGAAAAAATTCCTTTGTAACGTTTGCAATATGAAATTTTTCCGGCAAGATAGATTAGAAAGTCATAAAAAGCGTTACGGACACAACGAGGACGAAAAAAGTTTGGAAATCCAAAAACCATCTGATGACAAATCAGCTATTAAATTAATAAACAGTTGGATACGAGAAGAACTTGATTCGGATAACGAAGAGAAGGGTTTCCCCTGTAAAATATGTGGAAAGTCGTATGATACTAAAAGATCTCTTTCGAAACATCAGCTGAATGCGCACAATTCAAAACAAGAAGGATGTATAAACTGCGGTGATAATTGTACTTGCAACGACAAAGATAAAGATCAGCAAAAAGCGAGTAAAATACTGAAGCCGTATCATTGCGAAGAATGTAACAAGTCCTTTGAGAAAGAAGTGAAGCTACAGAGACACGCAAGGATTCATGAACGCGCCAAAGAGCAGGAAGACGCAAACTTTAAACGATACTTATGTCACATATGCAGCAAAACGTTTCGACAAAATACTGGTTTGATGTTCCACATGAGAACACACACCGGTTACAAGCCGCACGTTTGCAAGTACTGCGGTCGAGGATTCACATCGAACTCGAATTGTATTAATCATGAAAGGACTCACACCGGTGACAGACCATTCGTATGCCACTTTTGCAGTGCAGCTTTCGCCAAGTCGTGTACCCTTAAAGCGCATATCACAACGCACACCGGAGAGGCAAATTACCATTGCAAAACATGCGGGAAATCGTTTAGAAGGCTGAAATACTTGAAGGAGCACAGATTCACTCATACCGGGGAAAAACCGTACGCTTGTAAAATCTGCGGTACAGCGTACAGCCATAATGGTAGTCTGTTCGTTCACGAGAAGAAATGTAGAGCGCAGTATCAGAATGCACAAAACTATTGTCAGTCGGAGACATCCTCGCCGAGCGTGACTCCGATTATAACAATCTTACCCCAAACACATTTGAATGAAATTATTGTCCCGTTAAACATTCAAGACGGCAAAACTTATGTGAACGATATGCAGAGAATAAATTCTCCAAGTATAGACAGCGTAAGTCCTGTTACCACTCCGGACTTACATGTGCATCAAAATTCTGATAACTCTGACGTCTCTCTGTCTGTAAAAAACTTTGCTCTTATCGGGCACATGTTTCAATCGTAGGATATCGTAAAAAAAAAGAAAAAGTAATCAACGTGGAGGTATTTCTGTGATAAATCGTGCGGAATTGTTTCGGCTACTTCGCAGTTTAAAAGAAAGAAAATAACAATTTTTCAATATATGTTATTGAATTAACAAGTATTACAACTTGTATATTGTTTGTTTTTTTATATATTATAGAATGAGGTGGACTGGGTCTATTTTATGACTATTTTGCTTGAATTCGTATAATATAGCATGAGTAATAGTGTCAAATATTATCACTGTATAAAAGAAACAGGGATGATCTTTAAAATAAAATAACAAGCATTGATACTTCTTTCTTTTTTATTGAAAAAAGGCTGAATGCATTGTTCCTGTTCTTAATTGCGGTAACGTAAAAGATCAAGCACACTAGCGAACTCTATTCGAACAGGACGGACTGCGAGTAAACTACAAAGCACTGCAACACAAATAGCGTGTGTCCAGATTCCTTCTTTATTCTGGTTATCATTCGAGCCTATCCAAATTTAAATAGTAAATAATTGATAACATTTAACCTCGCCAATGGAAGGAAAATTGTATTGCAGAGTTATGTAGCTCATTAGCTAACTCTTCCATTTTGATAAAATGCGCTAATGCATTGGGACATTTTATATAAAATTATGATGTTAAGCTTGCCATTGATTAGTAGTTAAGAATATTAACGCGTCGCCATCTGTAAGAATGTGATTTATTTAATCATTGATTTCGTTGTAAAGCGACCATAAAACGTAATCGTCAGTCTCGCTCCGAATACGGCGAGTTAAGGGATGTATAGCGTCTGTAATGTGACCATACGTGATTTAAGCAGTGCTCCATGACGTCTTGTGAAATCAGTGAAGGCTATTACATCTTAAGATGATCTATGAGAAGATCTTTGACTTTGTATTTATTTAGATGTTCAATCTAAGCAACTACTGCGGCTTCACTTACTAATGCCACTTCTTTCTACTTCATTTGAATGAAGTTTTTAAGTGAATCATGAATATTTTATACACTGAATTAACATTCACGTGGCAGCTTTGTTTATGATCACATGCACAGACTTTTTCCGTTTTTATACTAACGCTTATTATTATCGATTCTAAGAATTTAATGTTGCCGCATCCAGTGGACCGATAATGTTCCTCAGAATCATCAGAGAAAATCTTACTCCTCCCGCGATAACAGTAGTGCAGTATACATAAAAAAAATATGTGGTCGGAAATCGTGGAATACTTGAAAGACGCGTCTTTAGTCGCTGAAATTCAGAAAGCTTTTGGCGTGAAAATCCATCATAAGAGAAATTTCAAAGAACATTATGAGGAGAACTCGGTTAATGAGACGCGCGAAATTACTTCTTCGGTGTTTGAACACGACTTAACTAGTTGTACGCGTGAATCTGGAGAATCAAAGGAGAACGGTCACGTTCCATTTTTGAGAAAATCCATCAACGCAGCCGGTACCAGTGCTTCGAACGACGAACAGGAAGAATTACTTTCTGTTTCTAATGATTCAAACTATACCATAACAAATTACTTTTGGTATTATTTGTTTTTATTTGGAACTCAATTAGGAGATGAAATATTTTACTCTACATTTATACCATTTTGGTTTTGGAATATTGATGGGGCAGTGGGTAGACGGGTTGTCTTAGTATGGGCCATCACTATCACTACAGGTATGTGGTTATTTAATAGAATTTGACACCAATTATATTTAAACAAAATAATTTGTTGTAGTATTGTAAATGTATAACTTATTTAGGTCAGATACTAAAAGATATTATACGTTGGCCAAGACCTGCGTGCCCACCAGCAATTCGATTGCAATCAAAATGGTCAGAAGAATATGGTATGCCATCTACTCATGCCATGATTGGCGTATCAATTCCTTTCAGTGTAGTATTATTTACAATGAATAGATATATTTATCCTTTTTCTATTGGTTGGATGATTGCTTTTCTTTGGTAAGTGATACATTGTGACTTAACAGTAGAGGTTTATAAAGTTAATAATGGGTGTAATGTATACCTATCTTTATTTCTTTGAAAGGTGTACACTTGTGTGTATGAGCAGGCTTTATTTGGGCATGCACACAGTGTTAGATATTCTGGCAGGTTTAATATTAGCTATCGCATTAATGATTCCACTAATACCCTTAGTGGATATAACAGATTATTATTTTATATCGAATTTTTGGGCTTTAGCAACCTTAATTGCTATAAGTATAGTTGTGATAGTCTATTATCCCACAAGCAACAGATGGACACCAACCAGGTAATGAATGGAATATTTTATTAATTCTATCAATGAATTTTATCTCAATCTATCAGTATCATTTTTTATATTTTTATTACAGGGGTGACACAAGTATGGTGGTGTCTGTTACTACTGGGGTTCATGTAGGAGCATGGCTTAATTATAAGACTGGGGCTATGATAACTCCCACAAAGGTTCCACCATATCATATTGTATGGCCTTCATATGCAATGCTTGATTGCTTGATACTTAGAACAATACTTGGATTTTGCAGCATTCTTGTAACAAGAGCTGTTTGCAAATCCGTTAGTTATGGAGCAATGTGTGCCATATTAAAAATCAATGCTAGAGACCTTATGAAAAGTCAAAACTATTCAGAAAATAAAAATAAGGTTCTTGTTGATCTAGTCTATAAATATCTAACTTGTTTCATGATAGGTTTAAATACAGTGTACCTCTTGCCAAACATTTTCACCATGATAGGAATTGAACGACCAACATTTTACACGGAAATATAAATTGACTATAGATCTTAGTTATCAGAATGGTGTAATACATATCTTGAACTTAAATAAGCTATGGAATACGATTACTATTTTAGCATATGTTCCACATTCCAATACTAATGCTTGTGATATAATTTTTTTGTACAAAAAGAAAACAGTTGTATGTAATGTTACAATTTGTTTTTATAATGTGTTTGTTGGATATTTTGTAATATTTCTTATACCAAAAAGTATAAGTTGAATCTTCCATAATTGTTGATTAGATTCAAGTCACAGTTGTCTTGTTCATATACAAATATTGATCGATCTTCATAAGCTTAAAAATAATTATGCTATTCACGCACATCAAAGTTTTATTGTTACGAAGAAAAAAAAACAGCAGAGAACAAGATACTGCTTGTATTTGTTTTTGAATATAATTAATGTTACAATAAAACTATTTATAAACTTAATATGCTTACGTTTGTTATTTATTAAACACAGTCTGTAGCATTTTGGACAGGCATATCTAATCTAAGCACCTATAAAAGTTATACAAAATTCATGTTATTTTAACATGATTTCTTTTTGTTGTATAATACGTTTTATAATAAATAGATACTCTTACCCTGAGATATTTATCCAAAAGACATTTTACACTTGCTACATTTATGGTATAGGGAATTGAAAGATCACAGGTAAGTCCAATCTTATCAACATTAATTACAATACGATCTTCATTCAGGAGTACTTCCATGTCTTCACTATTAATCTGTAAAAAATGTAAAGAAAACAACAATATTTTTCTGTGGTCACTGATTGTAGATGAAAATTCATTTATGTTACCCCTTTAGGCATGTAAAATAGACCAATTAAGTTTGTTGCAGTTCCTTTTAAAGGTTGTTTCAATAATACATAATCTATCTTTGAATCTATAGATTTTGAAGAGATTTCTGTCTCTTTAATTTCATTTTTTTTCTTATAACTTTCTTTTGGAGAGGATTTGATTTCTTCAATAAGAGGCTTTTTAGTTTGTGTATGAGTTCTTGGTTCGCGATTTTCAATTCTGAATTGTTGTAATTTTCCCATGACCTGGAATAAATATGATATTAACTACTTATCAATTTTATTTATTTTCCTATATTAAAAAACAATAATACCTTACGATTCTTAAGAATTACATATTCTTCTAGATTTAGATTTTTATTGATCTTTGCTCCTGTACCCTCTATTATAACTGTTATTGTAAAGATTAAGAAGTTCTTCTGTTTCTGACATTTTTCAAAATATGTTGTATTAATTACAATGTCACATGTTACACAAGGCGATCCACCTATAATATTAATTATATCATAAAATTAAATATTAATTTTTTTTAAATTTATTTGAAAGATTTAGACACCTTTATCAGATTCAAGTCTTTCAGTTCCTATACTCAAAGGTATAACAAAATCTGAAGCTTTTTCTTCTGAGATTATCTCTATAAGTTTTGCATCAGATATATCTTCAGGTGCTGGTATTTTATCTGATGTACATATATTTAAAAAAACCTTTTCATCTGCATCTGTTTTTGTTTTTACACATATTCCTAAAATGTTAAACGAATATAGCTTATGTATTTAATACAAGTAATTATTATTTTTTGTCATGTTTATAATGTTGTATATAAACTTACCAGGCTTAGGTTGGACAATAAAGAAAGGTTTCGAATCAAGCTGTTTCAGTAAATTATCCTGTGCCACAGTTTCCTAGTAAAATCACAAATATTTACAGAGAATCTGTCAATTTTAAAATAATATTTTCATTACTAATTTGTTTACTTACTGGCAATGTTAAATTTTGTGTTAATATTGTATCATCGACATCAAGAAACGTTCTGTTACTCATGGTATGAAAATATCTTCACCAATTTTATTGAAATTTAATGTATTCTTTAAGATGTAGTTGTTTAATAACTACCCACACTCAATAAACATCTACGAAGTTGAAAGTATACCGTATCTGCGTATAGATAGCGCTTTGATCAATGACTTAGAACACGAGAGCAAAAATTGGCGGGGATCATGTTTGTTGTTCTTCAAAACATGAAACTTTAGTTTGAGTGAAACACGTTTTTCAGAATTCAGTGTTGTATTAACGTTGAACAGTAATAATTTTACCTTTATAAATTATTACGGTCTATCTTCTTAGCTGTTGTTAAAATGGCACGGTGTGTGAATGCAATGGAAGGATTAACCCTGAGGTACGGAAAAATTAATAAATATTATAATAATCTATTAACGTAACATTGAAAAGGATACTTATTGATATGTTTACTTCAGCGATTTAACAGGGAAGGACGGACTTGTATTCGAAGTCGGTGAATATCTGCAACCCGAAGAAGAAGACTTTTCTTACTCGTCGACGGTTCCATTATCTAACGAGGAGGTTTTAAATTTATTAAATATGAACGATTTTCAAGACAATGATGACGACGATGAAGCTGATAATTCTGCTTCTCTTTTTGGTATAAGCTTTGATGAATTAAAAACTAAAATGACGGATATTTGTGGAAATGGCAAGGTAAATGAATGTTTATCTAAAATGTACTTGTATAAATTAATACTTTTTTATATATTCGTTTTTATTATCATTTGCAGATTATGAAATTTGAAAAGCAGAAGGGTGTTGGAGAAATTATTCCTTTTGATGCTCAAGTTACTATAAAATATTTAGGACATTTTGAGTACAATGATGAGCCATTCGATTCAAGTTTCACTCGGGGAGGAGCAGAAACATACCGTCTTAATCAGGGTTCATTACTACCTGGTTTGGAGATTGCTATATCAACTATGAAAAAGCATGAAATAGCAATATTCATTGTGCATCCTGATTTAGCATATGGAAGACTTGGTTGCCTTCCTCGTATTCCTCCAAATGCTGAGATTTTATTCATTGTTCACCTCATTGATTTTGTGGATAATGGATCTGTAGAGACACTTGATAATCTTTCCATAGAGGAGAAAAGAATATTTGCAAATGTTGTTACACGGGCACGTGCTAAATTTAATACTGCTAAAGATTGTTTTCATAAAAAAAAGTTTAAGCAAGCAATACGAGAGTAAGTTCTTCCAAATATTGTAGGACTGGGACAATGTAGTGGTAATTTGAATGTTTAACAAAAAATTTATTGACAAAATAAAAATTTTAAACTGTAATATAATATTAGGTATGCAAAAGCAATTAATTGGTTGGAAAGAGCAGAATTAAAAAATGATGAAGAAGAAGGAGAATTTAACAAATGGATTTCAAGGGGCTACAGCAATCTTGCAGTTTGTTACAATATGGAGAATATGCCTCGTCGTGCTTGTATCGCGTGCAATAGAGTACCTATACCATCAGCAAAAACTCATTTCAAGTATGTCTTACTGATTACAATTTATGATAAACACATCTGTAGATGAAAATAGGGTCTATGTTTTTTTGTTCCAGTCATGGTAGAGCTTTATTTAAAATGGGAGAGTATAACAGAGCAATGGAACAATTACAATTGGCCCTTACAATGGAACCTAATAATGAAGTGACTATTAAGGAAATTAGATTGGTAAATATTAATATTCAAGCAACAAACATTTTATAAGCATTTTATTTTATTTGTTACTTTTAGGTAAACGAGAATCAACGAAAATACACGGACATAGAGAAACAACTATGGTCAAAGTGTTTGAAAACTCAGCAGAAAGAGAAAAAACAAACAACGTTTGAGGAAGCTGCGCGTAAGATGTGCGAAACTTTCTCAAAAGACAGTCAATTATTAAGGCAACCACTTCCGGAATCGTTAACACCGGAAGAAGATAAATGCATACGAGAACAGGCTGCTGCGTTTGGTCTTTTAATTACCACACATCAAAGATACGGAAGAGAAATTACATTTCTCAATAAATCTAGCTACTAAGGTCGTTATGTCCACTTGTAAATTTAGTATCTTTTATAAGATATGAAAGTGTATTACTCGTGATTCTTTGAACATTTCCAGAAAAAAGATTTATACTTTTCGTAAATTCTCATTGTTCTTCTTTTCATTTTACATAAATTGACTTATAGGAACTTCAGGACAATCCCCGTAATATTTACTAAATCAAGGACTTCAACGAAGCGGAAGAAACTTCAATTGGTACATGAGGATAGTTCAGAGGACTTGTAGTTTATAGTATTAGCGACGAGATAAAAAGAGATATCAAATTGGAGGTATAAAGAGTTCGAAAAAGTGACGAAATATATCGCGTCTCTACAGTGGTCGTTATAGTGTTACTAAAAAGTGTATATAAAACATTTAAACGTTTGGATTAATCGTAGACGAATCTTCTGGAAGAGGCTTTTCAGTTTCATTTCCGAACCGTGCTCTATATTTTCGTCTGACTAGGTCCCATTCAACGATGTTCTCAATTCTAGATGAATCTTTTAAAGATAATTGACTTTCCAATGGAGTTGGTCGAAGTAATGGAAAATTGGTGGCGTCGCGTTGCTGCGGTGATATCCCGTTATCCTAAAGGAAAAAGAAAAGGAAAACGATCATTCATCGATATTTTAAGGTCAACTTTTGACGTGCCACATACCTGGAAAAAGGGGTGGCCCGTGAATAGTCGCGTCACGCCCGTTTTGCGTTCACGGCGGCGGTGTGCCGTGCATAGTTTAACGATGTACGTGATCCAAGAAGAAAATAGGTTCAGGGGCGAAGGCGCTGTTTTTGTTCTTAAAAAAAGGATAGGTGGTTGATTTTCTTTTTTTATCTTCTATACAGAATCATGCCCTACAAATTATAATAATGTTTCTCTTGTAGCGACGGTACCTTTCATGGTGAGCGTTTGGGGAACGCTCGATAATTTTTTACCGGAAACTCTGACTAATCGACGAGAAAAGAATCGTTCTGGAAGGTCTTCGATACATTACGGCTCCTTACTTTTTATTTATCGTCGATTTTACCATTTTTGTTCCAGTTAAGTTGCCGCGATTACTGAAACCTACTTGATCGTGCGCCTTTCTACTTACTTTTGCATTTTGCGAATCAGTTTGCTAAGCCCGTACTTCCACTCGATGTCGCTCTGCGACTGGATACTTTGGTACGTGTCGGACATCATCGCGATCAACAGATTGATCAGTACTATGACGCTAACCAACATGTATAGGGAGAATGATACCTGCCGGAACATTACACCAGGTGATCATTGAACGCGAACAGTCGCTTGTTCGAATCGCGCGCGCCAGCCCGGCCGCTGTTCCGCGAACGTTGTCCTGACCTTAAATAAATATATGGTCCAACTCGGTTGCAGCTTTCGCTTTAACGACATCGTGAAGTCGTCCGTGTCCTTCTGGCCGAAAATAGCGAAGAACAGATTTTCCGTGATATCGATGGGATTCACTTTCACTGAAAGAATGGAATCAACCGTCTAAATGGGCGAACGCGTCCGCTCCGCGTTCAGGTCGAACGGGCGTCTGACACACGTGGGCTCGAGAAGAACGAAAATCGATCGAGTAACTCGGGGATGATATCGCCGGTCTTATTTCAGATCATGGTCCAGCCTTGAAACGCATGCGATGGAGGGGCAAGGGCGTCAGGAAGGGAGGACGAAGCGAATGAATGAGATCCGCAAATGAATTTCGAACGTTCCGAACGGCGTACGAATGAGTGGTCGAGTCGGGAGGTCTGGTGAATCTAGCGATGGAGAATGCGTGTCAATGATCGACGGAAAGCTGATCAATCGGCGGACGGTCGATGCACCGTGTTCACGATACGATCTCGCAAATACGCGTGTAAACTATATGTATCGCCGGGTTTGCAAGCGTCGTGATGGTCGAGAGCCAGCCAGCATGCACACGTGCAATCATTCTCTAGGATTGTCCCGCTGACACCTCAAGGAATCGGTTACTGGTTCGTCAACTTGTTTGGTGAAACATTCAAGGCAGTGACGGTGCGCAAACGGTAATCGTCGAAGTTATCACCGGACTCGCAATCCGGGGTCTAGCTCCCTGTCAAGAAGCGGCTGAAATCATCATATTACGGTACGACGTCGCGAGACAAGGGACACGAGATAAGGTTTGTCGTCGGTGGTGAAAGAATCACAGAACGGTCCGATCGGTTTCGACGTTTATTTCGATAAGAAAGATTTGTACGAGCAAGGGGACGGGGTTGGGTGGGCTGTACACACTGTCTACGCCGGAGAACAATGTTTCGAGGTATCGTCGTGTCTTGCGTGGAAGTAAATGTCACAGAAATTCAATTCAAGGGACGGTGGTCGGCGGTGCTTGATTCCCAGCAGGTACAACGACCAGCGAGTTTTCCAGTGTCGCCGTGATCGCCTCGTGCTCCGCGGAATCTTTCGATTCCTCGGCGTGTTTCTCGAGCGTATCGCCGTAGAGGTCTCGGTACTTCCGTCTGACCGCTTCCCAGTCGACGACGTTGTCGATTCTGACCGCGTTGCTGAACGACAGTTGGCTACCAAGGGGACTCAGGTGAACGACGGACAGGGCGACGCTGTCCTTGTGAGCCACCTGAGTCTTTTTCACTTTGGACAGCCACTTGGCGCCCATACGGGAACGCGGGGAAAGCGCGTCGGCCCTCTGGAGTCCACCCATCAGGCGGACCAGGGACGGCCGTTGCTTTTTCGCGGCGCGTTTTTTGCACAGCTTGTACAGATACGTCATCCAGGTGGTAAACAGATTCAGCGGGGACGGAGCTGTGCTTGTCCTGCGCATCGAAGAAACGTGTCCACGGTCAATTAGGATCAGCCTTGGCCGGAAGACGCCCGGGTTGTAATCGAACGCGGCGGCGCTAACAACCGGTGGGCGACACGAAAATCCGCGGGCATGCAAAACGCTCGGTAACGGTTAAGGAAGACTTTGAACACCGGTGTCCCACCTCTTACCTGTGCATGTTCCTAACGAGTTTACTCAGTCCGTACTTCCACTCGATGTCGGACTGTGCTTGTATCCGCTGGTATGTATCGCTCATCATCGCGATCAGCAGATTAATCAGCACGACCACCGAGACCAGCATGTATATGCCGAAGGTGAGCTTGAACAGCACTCTGGTCCACTCGGGCTGCATTGTTTCGACCTTGAATTGTTCGTGGGTCGTCTGACCGAAGATGGCGAAGAACAATAACTCAACGGCCAGTACGGGACTCATCCTGACTGGAAATACGTGGGAACGAATATGTCTCGTGAAAAGTCTGTTCGCACCGCGGCCTAGAATCTTATAATGCAAATGCATATGTCTATACCGGTCGGTCGTTCTGTCGGTCGAGTTAGAGGTAACGTTCGGTCGGTGTCGGGTGTGTGTCGCATTTGCATTTGTACGGGTGTTAAAAGATAGGTGCGTGTCGGTTTGCCCGCCTCGAATTGCTTCTCGAGGCTGCGTGTCGCTAATGGCTAAATCGCTAAGACACGAGGTACGAACGCCGCGTCGTTCTACGGTATTACGTATCAAGGGATGCGTTTTGCTGCGACTTCGCAGTTCCCGCAACTGATCGCTTCCTTCTACTTTCAGGCACGCGAAATGCGGAAGACCGGTCGCGGGAAGAGCCGCTTTAAGGGGATTACAAGCGCAATCCATGAAGAGGAGGAGATAGCCATGCTGGGTCAACGTTGGACGCACGATACGACACTCTCGTGTCACGCTATGTATCTCCCGTGCCCGTGCGTTACTTACGTAAATCCCGAAACGTACGACGGCCCGTCTATATCTCGCGGGAAGATCGTTGATCTTCGATTGCGGCGACGAGTCCAACTACCGAGATGTATGTACCTATGGATGCGTTGCGTTGACGCGAGACGGCTCTCTCTCTCGGAGCACCGTTGCCGCGAGCGGAGTCCAACAACGTTAGAATAATGTAACAAATCGTGTGTACGCGACCGCCGGACGGAAGAACGCCCGTCGCTTTCCGAGGTGAGGAACCAGGGTTCCTCTAAATAGGCGGCGTGGACGTCGTGGCTGGCATCGCGGACGAGTTGGTGGGTCCGTTCTCGTCCTCGTTCTCGTTGTCCTCGTCCTTGTCGTCTTTGTCTGCCTCTTTCTCGGGCTCGTTCCCGGTCAGCGCCAGGTATTTCTTACGTATCGAATCCCAGTCGACCACGCTTTCGATCCTGGTCGCGCTATTAAACGACAACTGGCTGCCGAGCGGGCTCAAATGCACCACAGACAGCGCGACGCTGTCTTTCGGCCTGACTTGGCCTTTTTTCACTTTCGCCAGCCATTTCGCGCCCATCTTCGAGCGCGGCGACAGTCGACCGGCCCGCTGTAGCCCCATCATGTGGACCAACGAGGGCCGTTTACGTTTGGCGGCGCGTTGCTTGCACACCTTGATGAAGTACACGATCCACGTAGTGAGCAAGTTAAGGGGCGACGGGGCGGTGGTCGTTCTGCAACACGGAATCGCGTGTCCAGCCTATCCCGCAGATGTTCGGTTTCTTAATAAGCGAGAGATCTACGCGGCGAGAGACGCGGCGCGGTTGAGCAGAGCCGACAACATCGTGCGACAACACGACAGAGCAGAGACAGGCGTACAGAGTTATAGGGGTGTGGGTGGTAGTAGCGGCGGAGCGCCAGAGGGTGTTCGTGCGGATCGTATCCCGCGGGCTCCCGTCCCGCAAGGAAGCGATATTTCGTACGGGCGGATATTTTGAATTCCGATCGAGCGCGCGCGCGCTCGCCCGGCGGGGAGATCCGATATCGGCCTCGGAAACGGTATACGCTCGCCCGTGGAGAGGCTTACCTGTGCATGTTACGGATCAGTTTACTCAGCCCGTATTTCCACTCAATGTCCGATTGCGCCTGTATCCTCTGGTAGGTGTCGCTCATCATGGCGATCAGCAGATTAATTAATACGACTACCGAGACCAACATGTATACGCCGAATGCCAGCTTGAAGAGGACCGAGGTCCACTGCGGCTGATTGGTCTCGACCTTCAGCTCGCCATGGGTGGTTTGGCCAAAGACGGCGAAGAACAGG